TCAACAAATGCTTGCAGTACTAATGATGCATCAATGGCCGATCTCTGCTTGCGTCCACCCATTTGACTGGTATGAAGAAGCTCATCTGAGGTATTGGCTAGAAATGAAAGTCTATTTGCAAAAAGCTTTTCCAATAGCTTTGACATACATGGCAATAAGGAGATAGGCCTATAAGCTTTTGGTGCACAGTAGTCTTTCTTATTTCTTTTCGGAATAATAATTCCAATAGCTTCTTTCCATACTGTGGGATGATATCCACTTTGGAATAGGGCCTGATATGTTGTGAAGAAAAAGTTGGGTAGGATCTGAATAGCAGCCTTGAGAAGTTGCCAACCTATTTGATCTACCCCAGGTGCTGTAGATTTTGTTGGGATAGCTCGAAAAAACTCCTCTTTAGTCAGATCAGGCCATTCCCATTTGCTTATATATCTAGACTCAGCATTTTCAGTGTGATCATTTGAAGAATCAATTGTTGGGGTGTAATCATATTTTGGAAATAAACTTGTCATTAATGCTTCACTTTTATCTGCAAAAGAAGTGGCCAGAAGATCATCTATCCCGTCCTTTCTAAACTTCAAGGTAGGTATGAATGAGATCTGTTGGCGGTTTGCGTTAGAGTATTGAAAAGCTTTGTAAACCATATTGCCTTGGGCCTGCTCTATGAACTTTTGCCAGTGACTGGTCTTTTGAATGGATACAGCTCGGAAATATTCATTCCTTGCTTTGTTTGCCATTTTAATATTTTCTTCAGTTGGATACTTCTTGGCAGACCTTTTTTGGTGGTGATATACTTGCCGAAGTTTGGTGAGCTCAACTGACCACCAAGACTTAGATCTGCTTGAAGGTCTGCACTGTGGAATAGAATCCCTAGCTGCTTCATGTATAATCTCCTTCATGAGGATTGCTATCTCATTATATTTCTTCATCTGTATAAGTTTCTTGACCTCTATGGTAGCATTAAGTTCTAGGCTCAGTAGCTTCATCTTGAACTGGTTCCAGTCTGCCTTCTTCAAATTGTATGGATGCCTGAGACTTTTCTGATTATCATGAGGTAGCTTAAAGTATGTCTCAAAGCTTATGACTTCATGGTCAGAGCCAGTACTTTCAGCATATCTCTAATTGTGCCATTGAAGCTTGCGGAACTTGGTGGAGAATGTCAAATCAATAATAGAAGTTTGCCTTGAATTAGATCTATGGAATGTACCTCCAAGCTCTTCCATGACAGCAGCATCATTTAGGAGGGTCGCTCCTTGTGAAATAGTATATTGGGCAAATGTATCAGCCTGTAGTGTTGGGTTTCTAATGGCTGGATTCCACAAGGGATGATGGAGGTTCATGTCCCCAAGGAGAAGGAAAGCCTTATCCCACTACAAATTCATTTCTATCAATCTTTGCATGGTTGTTCTACCCTCAGATTCAAGTAAAGGTTTCTCATTATAGATGTTAAGTATGTAAAATGATTCATCAGAGGTGTCTACCTGAAGAATCTGCATGTCTGGATCATTGATGAGATCCTGTCTTAGTGATATATTTAGGTTGCAATTTTGTTTGATATAAGTAATGGCCCTAGGTCTGATTGATGAGTTGGTGACTGAAACCAAGGGAATGTAAGATGGATGTGATAAACGAGTATAAGTTTTGTTTTGTTTATGAAAGAAAAGGTAAGGCTCTTGAACACAGAGTATCTATGCATCTTCTTTCAGAGCAACTTCAAAGAATGATTGAAGGATTTCTCTCCCTCTAGCAGTATTGTGTTGGCAGATTTTAAGGTGTCCCGACATAAGTTTGCCTTATAAATTTCACAGTCAAGTTTTTGTAGTGCATTGTGACCATGGGCACTGCAGTTCACACATTTTTCCACATGATGTATACAGTTGTTTGAGGCTTCACATGAACCACACTTATGCTCAGATGAGAGGTGGTTTCCATTGCATATAGCACAGACAGCTGCCCTTTTGCAATTCAGGAATAAGTGGCTATATTTTAAACATTTTTTGCAGTGAGTTTTTGGTGAGATTTGTTTGTAGTTGGCCACCTTAAGTAATAGGCCACCAACTAAAAGTCCATTCATTAGCATTGAGCTTTTGTCCTCTTCTGAATTGATACTGAAGATGACAGAGCTAGATTGGCCATATGGTGTACCAGTCAGCCATCTTGGGCTTCCCGCCACCTGCACACCCATATTGAAATCTTCTACCTCTTGCTTGAAGGAAGTCATTGAAAGAGAGGTTGGAACACCATATGCTACCATCTTTGGCCAGTTGTTGACCTTCTGGATGCTAGCCACTGGCCATTTCCCAAAAATTGTGATACATCTGTCTTGGATTTCAAGAAGCTCTTCAGGGGAGGAGTCATAGCAAGTTAGGACAAGATTTTTCCGAGGAGAAGTATGGACTCTAGCAACAGCTTTCTTTCCAAGGAGCTGGTTGATGTTGTCCCTGACAGAAATTGAATTGTATTCAGGCATAAGGGACCCATTGATCATGACAATGATGAGCATTTTCTCTGAATCATGTTTGTGACTTGGCTGTGGAAGTGATTTTGCCTGCTGTTTGGGCTTTAGAGGACCTTGAGTAGCTCGTTTTTTGTAATTCACCTCAGTCTATTGGGAGGCTAGAGGTGTAGAATTATTCTTGCTGGAGCTTGAAGCCACATGAGAGTAAGTAGGCTTGATACTAGACTTGTTGGGGATGGGATGAGAAGATTTTGAAGGGGATTTATTTCCAATCTTTGATGAATTTTATTGTTGAGTAATGACTCGAGGGTTAATATTTGTTGGTTTTTACTGACCAGAAATTGGTTTGGAGATGGCTGTGTCACCAGGAAGTTTATCAAACTCTGCGAATTCCCGAAAAATCTGGATTAAATCCAAAATTCTAGTCTGCCTTTGTAGATCAAAGGTCAGACCATAAGCTTCAAGAAGTTTGTCCCTGGCAGCATATATGGCATCATCTGCTGAAGGACCTGAACAGAACTTGGTGTTGAAATCATTGAGCTTTGGGAGCTTTGGGAGCTTTGGTTTTTTTTTTTTTTTTTTTTTTTTGCATCAGATTTTAATTGCGTATGCAGCTATCTAGCTATGACACAATATCAAAGAAAAGTACAGAAAAGATGACTCAATTTACAAGAGGAGCACTCATGCCTCGGATTTCATTTGCAAGTACCACTGCGAAGTTATGGTGGCTTTTTCTTCACCCCAAGTCAACCCTCATCCGTGAATACCCACCCAGGGAAACGTCTCAAAAACTCTGAGTTATCCAGACATGCCTCCGTCATCCATCAACTTTTCTCCGCGCGAAATATAATCTGAGATGTCTCCTTCCCAAGTGGAGTAGGTGCCCAGGCTACTCAAACTATACCAGAGAACATCACCAGGAGGCGGACCACAACACCTTCCATCGTTTGCTTGTTTTTATAGTGTCAGCTGCACTCTCGCAAGCGAAGTCTTGGCGCGCACAAAGCTCAATTCGTAAAACTCTTGCCAAAATTCAAAATTCCACGCCCGTCGAAAAACGTATCCCTCTTCTGCATCATCTTGTGAACTTGTCCTGATCCCTCTCACGTCCATCCCAAAGAGCTATCTCCCAGATTTGTGCTCCACGCTTAGCTTCCTCCGTCGGGTATAAATATCGGCGTGGGCGTATATGTGGTGACCGGCTGAAGCCAGAGAAATTCGACGAGAGGTGTGGTCATTGAAACGAGGATGTACTAGGTCGTACTTGTAGACTTGATGAAGCTTAGTTGAGAATTGGACTCTTTGGGAGTGAAAGATTGACATGGTGGAGTAATTTGAATTTTTGCCTCGTGGGCCAACTTCTTTGATATTGCGAAATTTGACTGAACTTGGCTCTGAGAGAATATTTCACTCCCAGGTTCGTAGAGGACACCGCGTACAGGTGTTCAGTCTTGCCCTCCGGGAGCTTTGGTTGCTCAGAGGGCAAAAAGGCGCTTGGACCACACTTTCTCTTGGCAAGAGAAAAATTTTCACTGCCACCAGAATTGGAGGCAGAGATGGGATCAGAACTGGTATCCAGTGGGGAGAATTGCTTTGATTGAGATGATTTGGTAGTAGATGGAAGGTCTGATGGCTGTAGATTTAATTTATCACTCCAAATAGATGAATTTAGCCTGGGCTGAGATGGAAGATCAATGGGTGATGAAGGTGTGGATGAATTGGTGCCTCCAGCAGGAGGATCAAGGTCTATTTCCATTTTAAGGCCAACCAGCAGGCTGGTAGCAATGAAAATTATATCAAATTAAAGCTGAGATCGATGCGACACGGAATATGTATTGTAATAAAAATTTGGGCGACGTGATGTAAAGTTATTGATGAAAATGCAAATTTGAAAAATTTGCTCTCCACATACTATCTCAGCTGTTCCAGCGCAAGTGTACATTCCCAAATCACATACCAATCATAATACTTATAGTCAAAGACCAATTTAGAGAAGAGCAGCACCATGACTCTCTAAATTTAAGATGTAGCTACAGCTGAAATTAGAAGCTTAAGGACGAAAAGTATCAGCAGTGCCGTAAAATTATGTGGAGCCCAAATGCAGTAATCTCTTGTTCACTTTGAATGTTAATAACGCCAACCTGGACATCTCCACGTAGTCATCGCGGCGTTCTTTATTTTGCAAGGACGCGACTCAAGTGATTTTATTATCTGGATACGACCTGATTTCCTAGTGCTGGATCAACGACACTACTTGAATCGAGCTAGTGGGATAGGATGTGCTTAACACTCGGGAGAGGAAAGCGTAGATTAAGAGGAGCATCGCCAGCTCAGCAATGGAGTTGTACATACGGCTGATTCAGAACACACTCTTCTGCGATTCCTACGACTTTTTCCCCATACTCACTGTGAATCATCACGTCGGATCGTAAGCCAAGTAACAGAGGCTAAGAGCAGAATAAAATTCTTCGCAGTCGCCGTCTTGACTTTAATTGTCGACAAATCTATTCTTGCGCTGTCTGCGATCACACCATATGAGCGTTACATGGAGCCCAAACTACCAGTATTGGACGGAAATTTCAAACTTTTCTGCCCACTGGCCATAAAAATGTCTCCCAGGCTTATCAGAGCACAGGCGGATGTAGCATTCCAACTCAATAAAAACCCCAATACCAGACTACCAGAATATAAACATCCAAGATTTCCTGGCCAGATTCTCTATACTTATGCATTGAATGATCCTGTATTCATTCATATAGGTTGGTCTTGATAATCATCATTCCTTCATCACACAGCTCGCTGAATATTACAACTAGATATCCAGGCTCAAAATCATATGGTCATCGATTCTGCAGGGTTTTTTTTGGACGCATTCACTAGATCTCAAAGAAATGAAATGAAAAGTGAGAGACCCTGCCTGTTCTCGGAGTTCACCAGTTTCGAGTCTTATTACGATGCTCGATTCGTATTCTAGTAGCGAGCAAGCGGCTTTGACGCTGAGCTTGCTCAATTAATATACACAGTGCCAGCCAGATCTCTTCGCCCGACTCACACGACTCTAAAATTACGAGAATTAATTAAAATATACTTACTCTGATCACTTGTATAACTTGATAAGAGGCACTGCACAGCAAATGTAAGGCGTAGATGAATCAGGATTGAATTGATGTCCCACAGTAGTGATATGAGTTGGGTCTTATAGAAGTCCCCATCCACCAAACTGTGTTCCAATTATCTACTTTATTCTAAACGTGTCTCATTCCCTCGTATAACTGAGAAGTATTCTTTTAATGACTTGTGTCATCAAAGAATGACTACTCCTTCACTAGATAGATCGTCTCTACGACTCGTCGCTTACATTACTCGGAGAGTACTAACTGACGCGTCTATTGTCCAGACAGTGTAATGCTCGTAACTAAGCGAGTCGTGTAATCCGATACTGGAGGTTCCACGTTCTCCCGACTCACACAAATGCAACATTACGAGAATCACGAAATCCACAAACTGTCTCGATGCATCTCGACCTTCCTCGTGTTCCCGCAACCTTATGACCGCAATAGATCGTAGGTTTGGCGTGTTTTTTGAGCTGATATCCGCTACGCTCACTACAGCCTCTATCGCAGAAAACGCTCTCCTCAGACCTGGCTTGCCATGCTAGAAGGGGCGACTTGTGGAGTTGTGGCATAAATGAAACCTTTTGCGACAAAGACTATAAATGAAGAATTCGGCTATGCCGTATTATTTCAAGAGTACATCTGCGCAGGTTGAGGGAAAAAGTGGTTTTTGCATCGTTATCATCTCGTTTTGGGGGAAGTGTCTATGGGTACTTGATGCGATGGACTTTAATAGCATCAGTTTTTGAGTCATGGAAAAGGCTTGCAACGGCTATTCAAATTGAATTTTCTGATGGAAGTGGCGGTTTGAATTTGAAAATTTACTATTTAATATCTGCGACTGTGGGCTTAAGATTATCCTCGTGAAGTTTTCTACTTACGAGGGGCTAAGATGACTTATTTGGACATTTGTAGTCGCAGTTTGAATAATCATCTTTTGTTCTCATCATCCGCGCATACTTTGCTAATTCCCTTACTGTTAGGTTTTTACATTACTTATTAACTATCAAGAATATAGGACCAATCATTCATGAGGTTGCAAAGCGTTATCAATCGAGCGGCTACCAAGATCAAACTAGGGGTAAAAATGCCGCTCATTGAGATAGTCGGCAATATGAATGCTGTGCACACCTTCGGCACCCAACTGCCACCCATCGTACATTCTCTACATGCCGTATATTATCACCCCTGTGACTCTGCTTCCTCAATATCCTCACAACAAAGTATATGATTTGTAGTCATGTGTCTGTCAACGATGTAGTTCACTCGATACCCTTAATTATTCCAACTTCAGAACGTCGACGTGACGTGGTCTTCTAGGCTTGTGGGAATCTCTGACAATGATTTGGTAGATGAGACTATATGCCAATCTCCCCGCTCTATCGCATTTCTCGTCGGAGCACAGACAAAGATCACATTTCATGGATCTGACTTACATATGGTGGCAAAGTGTTATGATATGAGACAACGAGGTAGTCGAGCTTAGGGCATCGCGTGTGGCTTAAGGCCACAGCATATATCACTAGTGTATTGGTTAGGCGAGCATATATATAGTTTCATAGATGTACTCTCAATAAATGGATAAAGGTTTAGTCTTATACTTTCTGTCCACACACCCACAGCAAAATATTGTATGAGTCTATTCACTGTCAAAAACTAACTACAACATCATCCACTACTCATCACTCCGCAATGTGACTTCCGCATAGCTCATAACCACAATACAAAGCCATGCCACCTATCGCGAGCTAGGGATGCTATTTCCTAAGGAGCCTCCCGACAAGCTTGGACTTCCTCGTCGCTATTTCGCGCATCTTATGTGTCGCCGTGCCTATCAGAATAGGTTCCCTCATGAAAATTTCCTCCTGACTTGTTCCTGTGGGGTATATTGTTAGCTACCCATTTAGTTTGCTGCCCATTTTTCGCCAGAGACTTATTGTTAAATTATAAGAAGGGTTAGTCAAACATAATCATCCCTACGATTTAACATAATGGAGTTAGGGTTGTGGTTATTGGTTGCCTAGGAGTTAAAAAGGGTAAGACGTCTGTTGATTTTATATACCCTGTATTAGTAGTTTCATAGGAGGGCAAGACTGATCACCTGTACGTGGTGTCCTCTACGAACCTGGGAGTGAAATATTCTACCGGAGCCAAGTTCATTCAAATTTCGCAATATCAAAGAAGTTGGCCCACGAGGCAAAGATTCAAATTACTCCTCCACGTCGTTTTTTCACTCCCAACGAGTTCGACTCCTATCCAAGCCTCATCAAGTCTACAAGTACGACCTAGTACATCCTCGTTTCCATGACCACACCTCTCTTCGACTTTCTCTGGCCTCACTTGACCGCCAAATACATGCCCACGCCGATATTTACATCCGACGGAGGAAACAAAGCGTGGCGCACAAATCTGGAAGACAGTTCCTTGGGATGGACGTGAGAGGGATTAGGAAAAGTTGATAAGATGATGCAGAGGATGGATACAGTCTCGACGGGCGTGGAATTTTGAATTTTGGGAAGGAGTCTTTACAAATTGAGCTTCGTGCGCGCCAAGACTTCGGTTGCGAGAGTGCAGGCGACACTATAAACACCGCCATGGTTGGATGGTGCGGTGGTACATCGTCTTGGCCGGTCTGCCAAGTAGAGTCTGGATAGCTTGGACACATATCCCACTTGAGACAGTAGATCGCTGGTTCAAATCTGGCAAAACACAACCACATTTCTCGCGGCGCTGGTATACATAGATGACGAAGGCATGTTTGGATAACCAAAGGTTTTGAAATTCCCTTTGGTGGGTACTAACCGAGGAGGGTCGACTGTTTGTGTAAGCAAGCATACCTCATAGTGGTATTTGCGAATGAAATCCAGAGTATGAGTGTCTCCAACGTCAAAAGAGTCATCCCACATGTATACATAGCATCGGTCATATGTCATAGCTCCATAGCTGAATACACTTAAATGATTTAAAAAAAATAGTAGTTTCATATTAGCGTGTGGATGAGACTAGGAGCGATAGATTAGAGGGTGCGAGGTCGCGATACTTCTATTAAGCGCGTAGACGTAGAGACGAAGACACACGCAACGATTTAACCCTATACTTTATCAAATCTACTTCCAAATATTCCAGTAACAGTACTACTGTATTACCCGTCCAGAGGAATCATATTCCAACACTTATCTCTAATGGTCATAGTCGTAGCATGCATAACAACTGTTCGCCACCAAGCTCCAGGCGCGGGAACACCTAGGTAAAACTATACATAGAATCGATCAGAGTGGCGACACCATAAGCCTCTGGAATATTATTACTAGCCGCGAGAGGTCAGGTACCGCCCGGCGAATATGGAATAGTATCGAGATTACATGCGTACCTCGAGCGCCCCTTAAGGAAACAAGTACGGTCGTCCCTGCATCAGATATCTAAGGGCGCTCAATTAGGGTACTGGGATGCAATGATAGTGTGTGTGTTTTTATTGTACTACTTGAGACTATGACTTTCTAGCACATTGGGCTCCTCTCTGGCCCAGGCCACACCTTGTGCAGTGCTCCTTGCCTCTCATGTTTCTTGAAAGATCATTGATATATTGCCCGTACTAAAAATCCATTCAGCTCAGTGCTTACTCATGGAATTGGGCCATCTTTTCCACGGAACCTTCTACCCAAAAAAAAAAAGGTAGCAATGGAGACTGCGTGCGCGGGAAAAAGTCTCAAAAATCTGCAACCCCAGCCAAGCGAGTCCTAGACACCGGGACCACATGAGGTGCGCATATTCATCCATATCTCCCTTCTTTGTAACAGTCGAGGTCGACTTGATCCAATCCACCAACTCCGTATCGGGTGCTGGTTACGCTCCGGTAACACATCGGATGGCTTCCCCTGCATGATGAAGGGTTGGCGATGAGAAGGGCTCCGACCCTACCATGTGACCTGATCGTGGCTAGCTTCATGATAATGGTGATAGGAGGATGTGGTGAGATATGAAGATGATACAGACCGCGAAAGCGAACGGGAATCCTTGTCGAAGTGGGGATCTTATTATTCAATCTCGGCTCTGCAGACTCTGCACTGAGAGCTGGAGGTTCGTATGGGACACCACTGACAGGTGCTGAGAATAGTCCCCCACTGCATGTGATGTAATTGTTCTAATATCATTTGTTGTCAACAAGTCTATCTAGTCGGGTATAGCTCTGACGTTGATGGTTTACTGAAACTTATATGAGTAGTAAATAATTAAGATTAGAAAATTAATGAATTCAAATGCTATAGTCCTTACTTTCCACAACACAATATGCGAGACTCTCTTGAAAAATAATGACAAAAGATCTAAGGAGCCGTGTATAAGTTTGAAGCTTCGTCAAAAATTGTGAGACATCGAAACCCAATGGCTGCAGTAACCCTGAAAAGTTAGTTCTGCCCCTGAATCGTCACAGAAGATATGGTGAACAATGACATGTCTCGGGTCGCTCTCCAAACCCCTCCTCAGTCCGTCCACACGGGACAAAATGTCTAGAGCCCCCGCTAGTCTTGGGTAGCCTTTTTCTCGCGGACATCAGTGCCTAAACCCCAGCTTTCGATCTTTGAAGAGTGTTGGAAATATCGCGTAATGAAATAGGAGAAATAATTATGGGACGAATGATGAAGCTGACTAAAAAATTGTCCCGTTTGGATTACAGCTAAAAGAGTGTGAAGTATGCGCTACATGTACAAGTGTAATCAATACAAAGCCTAAGCCGGCAAAGACGAATTCTTCACCTTCCATTGGTGCCGGCGTAATCGATCAGTATGCTCTGCATATCTGGGATAGCCAAGAAGAATCGCATCCGAATCGAAGTCGAAAGCAACCTCAAGCACATCTCCATTTGACGACTTCCCGACAATGCCTCTCTTACTTTACTCATCTGAGTCCTCAAACTCTTTCTAAATACACGTCATCTCTCCTCGACGAACAATAAAGAAGTTGCTCCAATTGCATACAGGAGCTTGCCCCATTAATTTCCAGCCATCTCTCACTACATATTTACGACGCTATTTATACCCGCAAGGAGGAAATCAAGTCGAAAAATACAAAGCCTGGGTCTTGGGTTATGGGGGACTGATGATCTAACCGGACAAACAACTTGAGGGGGAACAGGCGCCTGAGATGTGGAGCGAGAGGGTGAACAGGTCTCTGAAGAGCATGCCGAGACTGACATTTTCGAGGAGTTATCAACTTTGGATTTTTTGAGGGCGCCAAGACCGAGATTTCGTATTGATCTGCATAGAGATACTTTAAAAATATTTGAAGTGGATTGGATTTTCTGTCCTCTTCAGATCTCATCTCACTAGCTTATATACATGCAAACCATTTATCATCTATCATATCATTTCTGCTCGGCCTTTCAGTCTTAATTGAGTTGAGCTAATTGAGTAAGAAACAGTTTCGGATGTCAATCTCCTGAAAATTACAACCTCAAGAATCTCTAGCATGAAGCGCGCGCATAAATAAAATGAACGAACTTGATTTGGTAAGCCTAATCAAAGCGCGCGCGTAAAGGAAAAGGGAATGAAATATGCTGAAAATTTGCAAATTAACTCTCAATCAATACAATGAAATTTAGCGCGCGCAAATCAGTGATAATCCAAGCACGCGCAAAATACTGGTGATTCGACATTTCGGCTAATTAGCCAGGAGGGCTTCTTTTGTCGATGAGTCAACGGCACTCCCCAGCGCCCTGGATGGAACAAAAGAAGCTAGGCTAAGCTACTATACAGTAATCACGCTCTGTCAAGACTTTTCTGACATTTTGGCACGACCTTCGGGTTGGAGTTGGAAGGAGACTAGAAAGGCAGAGTGTGAATTTCCCGAGGTACCCACAAGTTTGCAGCGCCCAGCTGGCCGGCCTCATCGAACGCCTCGGAAGGGTCACTATGTCTTCGGATTTAGTCCTAAAGTCGGTATTAGGAGAACTCCGCACCCAGTGGTTTTTGCGATTTTTCCCGGCTGCCATACACCCGCAAATGGCCATCGTTTTGTTGACTGCAGAGGGGAGATAATGAAGGGCAAAGGGATCCTCTAAGTGTATGATCGAATGAAAGCTTGTGAGGGGTGGTACTGTTCGAGGGGAGTTGTGTGGGAGGCATAGGAGGGGATAAACTACTGGTATAGGTATCCTTGGCCTGTAGGCAGAGAAGACCTGCATGTCCTACATAGTCATAGACTCAGATAGGACAATAAAATGAAATAGTAAAAACACAAAGCCTAAGCCACAGTAAAAACGAGTGTGGCGCCATATAGGCATACAAAATCCCCAATAAGTTCCTTTTACCCACACCATACAGCCGCTCATGTCTTCAATAGGTGGCATGAAGCGCTACTATATTACCCATTCCAAGCTCTTAAATACACACAAGATCTTGTCGGAAACCAAGACGAAATGGAGGGCCCGTACGTCCACAACACTCTGTGTCTCCATTTTTAATGAAGAGTCACGCCAGGTTGCTAGGAATTATCCACGCCAACACCAGTAGCAATACAAACGATACCCCGGCTTTCATAGAACTCGCGGCTGTCCTCGAACATACGCCCGCGAGAACTGTTGCACAAAGATGCTCTCCCATTCCGAGAGTAGAGTTCCCACCAAATGCCGGAATCGTAGGGCTCTATATCTTTCAGATAGTCGGTTGTCGATATTGCCTGGCCAGACCCATGCGCATCGCTCGGGTTACCAAAGAATTGTTGTAAAAAATCCGAGTTCATAACTGCACAAACCATCAGGGGATAACTGTGCACCAGCAAATTTAACCCCTTAGAGTCTGATCACTATTGCCTCCTGGTCGCCACATACTAACATCAGCGTGTTCACTACAATGAGGACGCCATTGTAGTTACTCTAGCTATCATAGACAATAACATGTAGAGGAATATGGGTAGGAACTCCTGTATATAGATAAGGCCTTTTTACTCTCAGTATCTATGTCGGAACGTTAGCTTTGTATTTATATTTATTCAGATAGGTTACTGGCGTTTGCAACTGGGATGATCGCCACTTGGTTTTAGTTGTATTCTAAGTCAGCTTGTCCCTAGACAAGGTGTTTGTAAAACTAGATAGAGAGGAGAGAGAGATAGACATATATAATTAACACCAACGATCAAGTCCACTACTGCAGCAGAGAAGTGGTCACTCCTGTTATCAACAATCTACATCCCTCATCCACAAATTCAATTCACCATCAATCATCTTACTCTATCCAAGTAATCTATTGAATTCTCCCATATCTATCTGTGACGGGAACCCCGAGTTGGTGATGATAATGTCGATTTAATAAACTGTATAAAGAAGAATGAGAAATCTAGCTACAACTAACGGGTATTTATAATATTCAGCCCCTCAGTGATTGTCTTGACTGATTTCTTCACCCTAGGCCGAATGCTTGCCACCCAGCCACATATTGTCAAGAATCACTACGCTGTGACACTGATCTGACCCCTTGGCTGGTAGTGCCGTATCTTCCAGTTTCCTCTATCATTTCCTTACAGTCTTACAACATGAATCATCAACAATACGCTTAGGTATCCACATAAGCTCAGACAACGGTCAAACCGTAACACTATCAGTATTCTATTCACAAGGTGACGTCTCCCTATCTATCGCCCTCAGCCTTTCAATAAGAACAATTAGTGATGATATGGCAAACTAGTGATCACGAATACGTAGCCGTAGTACGAGCCAGGGTTCCACCAGAAAGGCCTTCAACGCCGCAATCGTCCCGGTGAGGGGCGGTTTGATGGGATGAGACTCGAATTTCGTGTGAGTAAACCCCGAAAAGAATGTTTAAGAGAAGGAATAACTCTCCATAACTTTGGTTTCTGCTTTAAATCAACTCGTATAGATGGACAACAGGAGAGGAAATCTAGGCACTCATCGCTAGATCGTAGTGGTGGTTGAGAGACCAGGTAAAGTGAAAGATATGGCTAAAACAGATACAGGTGAGTAGTTTGTTTGCCGGAGCCCTGTTAGGCATGATTTTTTTAATATCTTAATTTTCTCGCGTTACTGTTCAATTCACAATGACCATAAGAGCGATTCACGCAGTTAAAACGAGATGGGCCTGTGGAAAAGGTTACAGAAATCCCCACCAGCTCCACTGCTCCTGCACCCATTGCAGACTTGAAGCTTTAGCCTAAGAACTTTAAAATGTAATAACGGAGTATGAGTCAGCTGAGCAGGGCCCAGAGCAGCATAGCCATCCAGATAAGAAGCGAACACATTGGGTTCAATTTCTATCTGCACAGAAGAAAAGTTACAGGAGTAGATAATCCACGATGCCGAAGTGGATATCCGTTCCAGAATGTGAAGCACATGATCATGGCCTGCACCAGCTGGGCCAAAGGTAGAGGAGAAATACTGAGAAATGCTGAAAAACGGTCATTTGGGTCATGATGAATAATCTCAAACAAATTGCAAGGATAACTAGATGGATCCAGCAGGAAAGAAGGTTAGAGCAGTTTCGACTGATACTTGAAGTCGAGGCCACGATGAGGGAGAGGGGAGAGAGGAGAGAAGGGGAAAGATAATCTCCTGCCAGTAGCAATAAAGTGGACGGTATCCGCACTGGACATAACAGTGTTAGTGCACTTTGCGAAGTTAACACAACTTTAAAGTGTATGTAAATTGAAAAGTTGGAGGGGTTTTCACCATGAAGGTTTCCTTGTTAGACATTAAGAAGTATCTAAGGTTTATTTGGTGTTTGGATCACATTTGGATATATTGGCTCCGACAACAGAGTACGTGAGGTTAGCTAGTTGAACGCACGGTCTACCTAGATAAGTGATAACTTCTGGGGTCCGATGCTCGGAGGAAAAAATTATGTTGTTTTTTTTTTGCATCAGATTTTAATTGCACATGCAGCTAGCTTGTTATGACACAATATCAAAGAAAAGTACAGAATAAATGATTCACATGAAGGAAGAGCACTCATGCCTCGGATTTCATTAATCAAGTTGTTTATACTGAGCTGTTGATACCTGTAAATATTCTTCACCTGCTACAGGAAAGGCTGTATAAGTGCTTGATATTCCTCCTGTATAAATATTAGATTTGGTAGACACCTGTATGTGCCTCAAGGCGCCAAATCGGGCTTAATGAAATCAAATTTAAACTGAGTATAAGCTGTTACCATAGTGATGGGATCTTGACGAGTCCATGTAGAGATGGAGCCGACTATTCCTATATCTAGTAGCCACCCGAGATGCGTCAAATGAAGTCTGACTCGTGACGCTGATACTGAACTAAATCTGCAATTTCCGAATTACAGGGTCCTCTAAGCTATCAAAATTGATTAAAATTTCATATTTACCTTAGCATGATGTGTAACCGTGAACCCATGTTCGCGCAACACGCGTGGCGCTCCAGATTCAATCAGAGCTCAACACAATCAACACCCTTAGTCGTGACCTCATGAGTCGCGACACTCACCTGCAAAATAAGATCACTAGATATCGTTAACCAGGATTTGATCCAAATAAACTGTCTTGAATTGTTGAAATTGATTCTTCCTTTCTTGGCATTCCATCGTGCATTCCTTCACTCCTTTTCGTGCTTATATGAAAATATTCCATGCCGCGAGACTAGTGGCCCCAATTTGGCTTGACGAGATAGGAAGATGGCGAATGATACTTTCTGGTAGTCTCCAACAGAGTCAAGCAATCATGGACTTCACTCCTACTCGAGCTTAGGGTACATCTCGATACTTTGTGAATACGAAAATAGCTTTGGGAGTGATGGATATCTATTGACATCCTCGAGCCTTGTGCAACTCCTCATTGTAACTAAGCTAACTACCTCTGGGTGAAATTGCCTCATTTCACATGTATCATGGCGAATTAAGACTTTACAAGTGCTTGATCAGTTTTTCGACTCCACCCTCATCCGGCTACGTCTATTCCGCTCAAATGAATCGCACGCTTGATGCCGGACAAAGTAGCTGGCTCTATGCTTCGACCAATCGCAGTTCAGGATATGAAAAATGGATCAATACTCCAATTAAAGATGAGGGGAAACGCTGGATTATAAAATATTACTCCTCGATCATTTCAAAACTCATCACCACCTTTCAGGAGTAATATCCTCATATTTCTGTTATTAATCACTTATTTCTTTACTTTGCACTATTAATCTTCCGAGCCAAACACCTATCAAAATGCGGATGTTCATGGTGTTTCTCGGCATAATGGCCACCAAGCTTGTAGCTTTACCGTCAGACGTGCATGTAAAACGTTCAGTAAATGACCATACCATTGAATACACGATGTCACAGATTCCCGAGCAACCAAACCCCGAAAAGAAATTCAGAATCCTAGGGAGAGATGAAAAAGGTACTTTTACCACCACACAATTTGTCACCAAAAAATATGCTAATCAAATACTTTGTGCAGAAAACTCGGGAAGAATCAACGACCTGGTACGGACGTACAGCATTACTCCAACTGGCGAACATACCGATTCTCTCCAAAAATTTTCAACCCCGTCCAATCGTTTAACTCGTGTCATGAGCGAAGGGCTACCCGGCAAACATGTAAAGAGAGGTCTCCATTACAAGCATTTTCTAGGCCGACCTCACTGGAAACATGGACCTCCGCATCACCATCATAGAGTAATGTCTCGTCTCGGACGGCTATTACCCCATCGTGGAGCTTTTCACCCACCCCATTGGGTCCACCCACCACATCATCCTCACCCTCACCCTCACCCTCACGTGAATTTCCGGCACCCAGGCAGACCGTAGTAAGGTTCGGCGCGAGGTTAGGGTTAAGTTGAACTTGAACCAGAAACTTAATCAACTGATTAATCGCAGTTTGGGGAGTTTAATGCTACATGAGGTCCTTATTTATCAGGCGTTCATGGGAAGTGCGTTTTCTATCAGTGACAACTGTTGTCGCAGTCTTTGATTCCAACCATGGCGTTCGGATCAACATTGTTGATTAGTACTATTTCAGTGCGAAGATTACTAGATTTACGAGCTTACATCTATTTTGAAGAGTTTGGATTTCGAGATGAAGAATGGATGTCGCGGGCGGCGGTGGCTTCAACACGCCTTCATTCGAGCAATAAATATTTTATATGTTGGCTTTAATTTACGAACACGTAGGGTTAATTCAACTTAAAATAAAAAGTTCCAAAGTTTGATGTGTATTGTATATTGTGGCTATCTTTAAATAAGAACATAGAAAATGTAGAGATCGCGATATTGGCTGAGTCATCAAGTTAACGACTCTTCAAGGGAGAGACTCACCAAACTTACCGCTAAGCGAATAGGGATATTTACCGAAGATTTTACCAACCACGATAAATATGCCCAGAAGAGGGCAAAACTGAACATCAGTACGCGCTGTCCTCTACAAACCTGTGAGTGAAATATTACACCAGAGCCAAGATCGGTCAAATTTCGCAATATTAAAGAAGTTGGCCCACGTGTCACGGTTTCGAGGGACAAGTGCTGGGGCAACTATGTGGTCGATGGTAGTAAATAATAATTCTAAGGAGAGAACTTCCACTACATCTATCTATTCATTTATATACGTGAAAGCCTCCTCGCCACCAAGGCTAATCCCTCTCCTGTTTCTATGCTATGGGACTCCCCTAGTGTTCAGACTATGCCTGTAGTACAGCACTATCGCGTTATGGTCCGGAAGGATTGTACTCGGTCTCGTATATTCCCAGTCAGTGTAAGCCTATCAACATGTGGTGCAGTGCCGTACTGCCGTGCCGCACTGCCGAGTCCGATGCCATGTGAATACCATGCAAATGCCGACGTAAAAGTATTGTATTGGGTGGCGTCGCATATTAGCGTATTGGTAGCCATTAAAAACGCCACTCGACTCAGGCCTAAGTTAACCAACATAGGCTACAGGGACCAATCGGCTTACCAGCCGTTACACCACGAGGCAATATTCAAATTACTCCACGTCGTTTTTTCGCTCCCAACAAATTTGATTGCGACCTAAGTCTCATCAAGTCTACAAGTATAACCTCGTACATCCTCATTTCAATGACCACACCACTCTCTGACCTTCTCTGGCCTCAGTTGACCACCAAATACAAGCTCACGTCGATATTTATACCCGACGGAGGAAGCAGAGCATGGCACAAAAATCTGGAAGACAGTTCTTTGGGATGGCCGTGAGAGGGATCAGGACAAGTTTACAAGATGATACAAAGGAAGGATATTACCTCGAAGAGCGTGAAATACCGAATTTTGCCAAGAGTTTTACGAATTGAGCTTTGTGCGCGCCAAGACTTCGGTTGCGAGAGTGCAGGCGACACTATAAAAACAAGCCGACGATGGAAGATGTTCTCCGGTATAGTCTGAGTAGCCTGGGCACCTACTCCACTTGGGAAGGAGACGCCTAAGACCATATTTCGCGTGGAGAAAAGTTGAAAGATGATGGAGGCATGTCTGGATAACTCTGGGGTTTTGAGACGTTCCCCTGAGTGGGCGTTCATGGATGAGGGTTGACTTGGGGTGAAGAAAAAAGCCGGCATAACTTCGCAGTAGTACCTGCAAATGAAATCCGAGGCATGAGTGCTCTTCCTTTATGTTGAATCATCTATTCAGTACTTTTCCTTGATATTGTGTCATAGCAAGATAGCTGCATATGCAATTAAGATCTGATGCAAATATATACCCAGATCTTATACATAACCCCGCCCTGTAACAGTCCGAGCCTCTAACACAGGAGGTGAAAAGAGTGACTGTGAGTGGAGGACGAAGGCCGAACACCTGTAAGTAGTGTCTTCTACGAACCTGAGGATGAAATATTGCACGAGAGCCGAGATGCAGTGACAAAAAAAGATGGAATTGGGAATTTTCGTCGAGTTGACAATCAGGAGGAGTGGTGTTGGCTCATTTTTGTCCGGAAATCCGACTTGCAGAGATTTCACGACTGCACAACTAAACATAATAGGGTGCCTGATCGGGTTAATCAAAATCAAAATCAACTAAACGAAGCCGGCAAAGTCGAATTCTTCACCTTCTAGTGGTGCCGGTGTAATCGCTCAGTATGCTCTGCATATCTGGGATTGCCAAGAAGAATCACATCCGAATCGAAGTCGAAAGCAAACACATGCATATCTCCATTTGATGACTTCTCAATCTTGCATCACTCACCATTATCTTCTGAGTCCTCAACCCCGATCTAACCACATATCATCTCGCCTCGCCGACCGATGAAGGCGTCACCCCAGTTGCAAACAGGAGCTTGCCTCATTCATCACCGGCCATCACTCATTACAAATTTACGACGCTACGTATACCCGCAAGGAGGAAATTAATTCATAATATACAAAGTTGGGGTCTTGGTTTATGGGGGACTGCTGCTCTAATGGGGCTTCACATTTTGAGGAAGTACAGGCGGCTGATATGTGGAGTGAGAGGGGAAAGAGGTCTCTGAAGACCATGCTGAGACTGATATTTTCGAGGAGTTTTCAACTTTGGATTTTTTGTGGGCGCCGAGACTAAGATTTCGGCTAATTAGCCAGGAGGGCTTCTTTTGTCGATGAGTCAACGGCACTCCCCAGCGCCCTGGATGGAACAAAAGAAGCTAGGCTAAGCTACTATACAGTAATCACGCTCTGTCAAGACTTTTCTGACATTTTGGCACGACCTTCGGGTTGGAGTTGGAAGGAGACTAGAAAGGCAGAGTGTGAATTTCCCGAGGTACCCACAAGTCTGCAGCGCCCAGCTGGCCGGCCTCATCGAACACCTCGGAAGGGTCACTATGTCTTCGGATTTAGTCCTAAAGTCAGTATTAGGAGAACTCCTCACCCAGTGGTTTTTGCGAATTTTCCCGGCTGCCATACACCCGCAAATGGCCATCGTTTTGTTGGCTGCAGAGGGGAGATAATGAAGGGCAAAGGGATCCTCTAAGTGTATGATCGAATGAAAGCTTGTGAGGGGTGGTACTGTTTGAGGGGAGTTGTGTGGGAGGCATAGGAGGGGATAAACTACTGGTATAGGTATCCTTGGCCTGTAGGCAGAGAAGACCTGCGTGTCCTACATAGTAATAGACTCAGACAGGACAATAAAATGAGTTAATAATAATAAACCTTCGGCAATTAGCAACTGCAGATTCCGAAACTTGGAGAGCAGCCACATTTTTCCAAAGTCGAGAGTCTGGACGGCAAAAACTGAGTTTTCAAGGCTCACCATTCTTCCTACACCGTAACCTGACAAGGGCCCAAAGTAGTTTGGCGATGCAAATACGAAGTGAGCACATGGGGCTTAATTCGTATTTACACAGCAGAAAAGTACCCGGAGTATTAAGTCCAGGCTGTCCATGCGGCTACCAATCACAGAACCCCAAGCATATGATTATGTCCTGCCCTCGATGGTCAAATAGTAGAGCTAAGATCTGGAGACAAGCCAAAGATCGATCCTATGAAGCGATGATAAACAATCCTCGAGATATAAAAAGGATAACACGGTGGATCCTAAACCATGGCTGGATCGGGCAATTCCAGATGACAAAGGCGGTCGAAATACTGCTGAGCGAAAGGAAAAGGTCAAATAATGCTTGGGGAGGATAGAGATGATCTGGTTAGTTTACATGGATGGCACTATAGTGTAACTGCGCTTCCCGAAGAAAATTTGTGAGGACTGTAGATAACAAATAGAAAGATGTGGGAGCTTTTCACCATAAAGGTTTCCTCCCGCGTAAATATTATAGACTGGTAGACACCTGCGTGGGCCCATAGGGCGCCTGAACGGGCTAAATAAACTCTGTAAGCAGATGTTTGTTTGTTTGTTTGTTTGTTTATTATTTAACGTCTAACTAATGATTATAATACACTAGTCCCGGACTGGAAAAGGACGCCAGAGCTTACTGCTCTAGAACCGGGGGCACCCAGCTTCTCCAAACAAAAAAGAAGGGACCCGAGATGAGATACGGTGTCAGATGACTTATTACGTCACGCTGTCTACAGAAGTTTATGCCTCCTAGAGGGAATGAGAGCCAGTCATAGTGGGAAGAATATCCTCCCAATATGCTTAATTAAATTAGAGGAAAAGAAAGGGAAGAAAGGAAAATTTAGCACATGGGCATTCTTTTATTTTAATTTTCTTTGAACTGCTGTTAAGCAACATTTATCGATGTCACGGGAGGAATCCGGGGACAAATTTTAGTGAAGAACTGTGATTTTTCAAGCCATTGTGCAAGTTTTGAAGCTCCTGTGGGGGTCCCAAGAAAGAACTTCCATTTGTCTGAACAGCCCCTCGGTGGTTTGAGGGGGCTTGATGTGATTAGTCTACAGTTTAGGAAATGTGCAGGGGACTTGAGTTTGTTGCAGCTGCAGGTATTGTGGGCGGGGTTGTGGTTGAAGCGATTATGATAGGCTGCAAAATCTCCATGTCCGGAGCGAGCAGCGTATATATGGGCAGTATGATGTCGAGGTAGTGATAGCTCTGCGGGGCAGCCCACAGGATACTCGATTTCCAAGTCTTGATATGACTGAGGGGCATGCTTTGCCCAATACTCTTTGTGAGCTTTTATAGATATGTCCCTGACCCAAACTTTTGCCGAGGCAATTGTGAGTGGAGATGGGGACGGATACGGCATGGACAAAGCATCTTTCGCTGCTTTGTCTGCTAGAAAGTTGCCTAAGTGTCCTGAGTGGCTTGGGATCCAATGAACCCGGACTTCGCCTGGGATAGTATGGGGGAGACGCGTGCGGCCTGGCCATTCTTGTGCTTTGAACGCGAATTTTTTGAATACGTCTTGGGAAGAGCAGATCGGAGTAGATAGAAGATGTCGGGCTACATC